CCTACACATATGCATGCATGTGTGTGTGCATACACACCTACACACACAAACACACAGAAATGAAAAAGCATTCTACCAATTTGCAATCTTTTGAGCCATCCAGTCTCCCGGAACGTTGATTCAAGTTGTAGTAAAATTTGGGTAGCTCACATTTAAACAGCACAGATAGAAATAAACTGCATGAAGTGATTACTCTGTATCACCTGATAGGAAAAAAAAAAAGACTATGTAATTATGGCTCCAGGTGATATCACTGGTGTCAACCATTTATGCACGGCTTGACAGAATTTGTTTATGTACTACATACATATTCCTTGTTCTGAGGCCTGCTCCACTATGAATGTGTACATAAATGTAGGTAGAGCCAGCAGATAATCACTCCTTATTTTTACTGAGTCAGAAAGGTTCAATTTTATGTTTTAAAGTGACTTGGTAGCATAAGGAGACCAGTAAGTTCACTCCCCTTTCTCCAGAAGAGAGTACATTCTTATGTAGATTGAAAATGTTACAAAGAATAAACAGAGAAAAGAACTCCAGCCTTTTTTTTGTATTGAGCAAACAGGAATTTGCAGCAGAGTCAGCTCATATATTTGGATGGCCAGCTTAAGACCCTTTGCAGTGAACTGATGTTCAGAGTGCAGGTATTCAACAAGTTCTGAAAATCAGGTCCCTTCACCAGTGGTCAGTTTGGGCATCAGAAATCAGGGTTCCCTTCTAAAAATTCAGGCTGTCTTTTATTTTGTTACTCACTAGGCATTTGCCCTGTTATTAAAGATGATATAAATATGAATCACAAATACTTGTTTTAAGCATTTTATGATGGGGGGCGGGGGGATTTGTTTTTTATTCTGATCACCCTCATTTGTTGTGCATCTGTAAAGTACTGCAGAGTTTTCACCAATTGTCTTGCAGACCATAAGCCGAGCTTTCATGAATGGGAGCTCTGTGGAGCACGTCATTGAGTTTGGGTTAGATTACCCTGAGGGAATGGCTGTGGACTGGATGGGAAAGAACCTTTACTGGGCAGATACTGGAACTAACCGAATTGAAGTTGCACGCCTGGATGGACAATACAGACAGGTTCTTGTGTGGAAGGATTTAGATAACCCAAGGTCTTTAGCTCTTGATCCTACTAAAGGGTAAGAAAAACTCTGTTTTGTCAGTCAGCTTGACAGTTATTGATAGCATACACTCTTGCATTACACTATAGTTTATATTTCTCCAGCACCATTTAACTAGGGATCCTCAAATCACTTTACACAAGTTAATTAACTTAGCTCCACAGTACCCCTGGGAAGTGAGTAAGGGCTGTAATGTAAAATTTAAAATGATTGGCAATCAAAGTGCACTGTCCTTACTATTCAAAAAGAAAACAGTATATTTTAATCTGCCATAATTCACCATTCACCATTACATGTGGTGTTCCAATTTGTAGTAATTTAAAAAACAATCAAAAGATATGCACTATGTGACACTTGCCTATTTTTTAAATATGTTGCATTCAGTTCATCTGATTCTGAAATCTAACTTCTTTTGATTTGCAATTTGACACCTGTCAAACACATTTGGCCCAGTGGTTTTCTGGCAGGAAGCCAAATGACTGTTACTTTTATCACATTAAGTCTGCAGCAAAATGTAGTTATTAACCCAGGGGTAGGCAACGTTTTTTGGCCGGAGTGCCAAAAAACCCCACAATGCCTATCTTGGAAGGTGTCAGAGTGTCGGCATGCCAGAAAAACAAAATGAGGGCAGGGGGTACATGGCAGGATGCCCTGCTTGTGCCTCTTGCCCCCCAGCCCTACTGTCCTTCTGCCCCTTGCCCCTGCCCCCCAGCCCTGGCTCCTTGGCTATCAGCAGCTACCCAGAGCAGGGGATGGCTGCAGCCGGGAGGCTACAAACAGCTGCTGGCCTCCCGCCCTGGCCCCAGCTGTCTCTCGGCCCTGGGGTCCAGGAAGGCAGCAGGTGCCAGCACTCCACCTGTTGGGGCCGGGGCCGGAGCCGGGGATGGGGAGGCAGCAG